AGGCGGTTTTTATGCGTTTTTTGCTGCGTAACAGCAATACAAAACGCATATTGTCACGGGGTTGTCCGTGTGTGTGTGTGTGTCCGCAGCAATTTGTCCGCAACTTTCAACTCGGGAACCACAAAAGCTAGGAAGCTGAAAATTTAGTGCAACTTTTCCCACCCACGTGCGACCCCACGAATTTAAATTCAGCTTCCCCGTACCCGCGGGTAACATGTACGGCCCCGTAAAAGTTCGGATAAAATCACACGGAAGCTAGAAAGCTGAAATTTTGTGGGCATGCCCTCCGCCCATGTGTTACCCAGAAAATGCTACCCATGTGCTTTCCCCTGCCTACGGGTAACATGTACGGCCCTGTGAAAGTTTTTGACGGTAAATTATCTCGGGAACCACGGAGTTTAGGTAGCTGAAATTTCAGGGTAATGACCCCTTGCCAACAGTTGGCCTTGCCCATTCAAATTCAGCGTTCCCGCGCATTCGGGTATCACCAGCGGTCTCGTGAAAATTTTGGCGGGGAAACTATTATCTCCGGACCATAAAAGCCAGGAATCTAGATTTTATAGTAATGTTTTCTTTCCACATACATGTAATGTCTTCGATGAATCATTAGCAGGCAATCTTTCGGTGAACGGAATTGCACAAAACGCATGATCGTACCGGCTGCTCTGGTGCGCGTCGCTACTTATTGTGCTTTTTAAAGGACACGTTGTCGTTGGATCGCACTTGTAACGTGCGGATTGTTAAAACTACTGCAGTAGTTGTTGCAGGTCTTGGACTGCAGCAGTGGACGAATCCGCTGCAGTCCATTGGGTGAATTCATCGGACTGCAGCGATGGACGAAACTCGCGTGGTGAGCAACTTCCACCTTTCACTGCGAGCAAAATTTGGTTTTTTTTTGAATTCGGAAAAAAAACAGAAGCATATTTAATCTTGAAAAAAGAAATGGCTTTAGTTTGGCTTCAGTTCATAACGTATTTTCATGCGTTTTTTGCAGGACCCGGAAGCAGCTGAACCAAGTCCGAAAGCAGCTGGACCAAGTCCGGAAGCAGCTGGACCAAGTCCGGAAGCAGCTGGATCAAGTTCGGAAGCAGCTGGATCAAGTCCGGAAGCAGCTGGACCAAGCCATCCGGAAGCAGCTGGAAGCAACTGATCCGGAAGTAGCTGGACGAAGTCATCGGGGTGCAGGTGAATACTCATCTGATGCTCTATGTATTTTAATGGAATGGATAATCGGAAGGAGGAACTGGCGTTGATCGGTGCTGGGAATTTGCCCGAACGCCTGATACAGCCCCAAGCTGGATATGTCTCTGAGTCATCTACAGACCACCAGATGCTCAGGATCTGGGATCTCGAAGATTTGGAAGACGGGGCAGATGCCACGGTCCCAGATCCCACTTTTTTTGTGACCTGTAGAAGAGTCGTATCATTTCAAAAAAAAAGTAATTTGATAAACATAAAATCCGGTAGGCGTAGTGACCACGGGCTGTTTAGGGATGAAAAGATGGCCAGTTTGCTTGATGCACTGTGCTGTGGAAATTGAGAAAAAAGCATTCGTGATGTATAGGCGTACATGTATATACGTTACTGTTTGATCTTCACTACAATGCCAACGGTTAGTCAGGCAGGGCCGGAAAAATTGTGACGTGCTGTCTTCTTGTTGCGTATGGGAGCTTTGGGTATTCTTTGTCCTGTTTAACATTTTTTGCATTTACTGAATTTGTTGCATGACAAATACAGAAAGCATTTTTTACAGTTAAAGTACTGTTACAGATACTAGAGGTATTGTAATTGGAACGAAAGTACTATTGGATATTGGAGGCGACAGCGATCAATCTACCAAAGAAGATTAATTTGAATCTTCGATTTTGAGTTTGAGTTTTGCACTTGGAGATTTTTAATTTTAAATTTTTGGATTTTGAACTTTGAAAAGATTTTTGGTTTAGTGATTTTCCGCCCAGTTTTGATGATTGAATCTGCCTAATGAATTTTGAATAGATTTTTGGACAGAGACGAAAAGTTGAGGAATGAACCTGCCTGGATTGTTTGAATTTAAAATTGAATCCGCCCAATTTTGGTAATTTTTGGATAGAAAGAGTAGTTCAGTTGTTTAACTCTGTTCAATTGTTTTGTTTGGTACATGTTTTTTTTTTTAATTTTAATAAAAATTATTTTGTTTCATCTTTTCTGACATTAAAGATTCATGGGAGCTTTCCTCTAATATTTTTGTCGGATTTTTCACAGTTTTTTCCCTTT